TCAGTGCACCCCAGCTACAATGTAGCTTGCCATCACCAGTGTGTGAATGTATGGGTGGATTACTGAATGTGTAAAGCGCTTTGGGGTCCTTAGGGACTAAGTAAAGCGCTGTACAGGCCATGCCATTACCATTTACTCTGTTAGGCCCTACACCCACTGCCCTACATAGTGGACCCTGCACGGATAATAAGCAGAAGGGGAGCAAGAACTGGCTGATATTAAAAAATAAAAAAACATAACAGCAGAGTGCAAGATGCTAGGATGCAGGCATAGATGGAACGTCAAAACCAAGTGGCCAACAGTTATCTGCTGGATTGTTTCAGGGACAGCTTGCACGTAGCAGAGGGCTGCCGTGGTCAAGAAATGACCGCAATCACTCTTCAGCTTCACTAAACATTTAAACTAAAAGAAGAAATCAAATTGTTGTATTACTAGCCTGAGCTGCAAACAAAGTTAGTGCACGGGTAAAGCAAGTAATCAATCCTGGATATCTTTTACACCACCACAAAGCACTGATTAAGCTCTGGAGGAAATCCACTTATCTAAACTATCACAGTATAAATAGTAAATGCATCAGGACTCAGAAGTTAAACCAAGGGAAAATTAATTTGCCTTGTATTCAAACCTAAAGATGCAAATAAGAGGAAGCATGCACTAACATTACAAGCTAAGCTCTTTAAACATTAAAAAGTTACTAAAACCTAGAACATAACAAGAAGATCCCGAAGGAAACCCAGAAAGGTTCTTCAGTGTTCCTTTATGCTTTTGCTTGCAGGTTTGCTATTGAAATGATTATAGTAGCAGCCACAGTAGCGCTGACATTGAGTGCTTTTTCACATTCTTTCTTTTATTTAGCCAGACCTAGGAAGCAGTCACATACATTATTCTGCAATAGCCCCATATTATACAGTACTGCAGCGATAGCATCTAACCAGTACTGTGTAGGATTGGGGCTGTTGCAGAGTAATGTATGTGATTGCTTCCTATCACATACATTCATTGTAGACTGCTGTACTAAACTTCACCATAATTTAATTTACAGTTAATTCCATCATATCACAGGCACCATCTTACTTTCTTTGGTGTCAAAAAACACAAGGGAAATCTTTTTTAAGGTTCTGATCAATGTACAAGAATTTCATTTGTATGTCTTTTGTTTATCAGCAACATTTTCATTTTATTTTTTCTTCTGAGAGTCATTGGAAATGTGTTACTTTAACATACTGCAGTAATACTTCAATTCAATTCAGTTTTATTTGTATAGTGCTATATCACAACAGTTACCTCAAGGCGCTTTATATTGTAAGGTAAAGACACTAGAATAATACAAAGAAAACAGAAAATCCTGACAACCATATGACCCCCTATGAGCAAAGAAACTTCCAGCAGAACCAGGCTCAGGGAAGGGTCCCTTCTGTTGCTACCGTTTGGGGGTGAGCGGAGGAAGACGGGACAAAGACATGCTGTACTTGTGATCACTACAATAGAAACTTTGATTCAGTTTGCTCACTGCTCATTTATAATAAAGTCTTTACAGAAATACCCAAATTCAAATGTTGTTTACAAACTGGCAATATGCACCAGATTCAAAACATATTATATATAATGGAAAGATTCTGCGTGCTAACTGGAGTCCAATTTGTTTGGACCAGATGAGTTGACAAGTTGTTGTAGTTTATGATGGTGTTGAGGTGAGAGGTACTCTCTGGGTTTTGTAGTTTCAATTTAGATTTCTTCACTTCACTTCTGAACTTGGAGCACACCATTTCCTCCAGATGGAGGGGGGGCTGCTGTTTGACTGGGAGACTTCATCTCCTTTTAGGTGTGAGGATGTCACTTCACATGGTGGCGCACTTTCTACTTTCATTGAAAGAAGAGGAAAACAGAGTTAACGCGCACTCTCGATTTCCCATATCGAAGTTTGTCTCAAGATGTCGTCCTCAACAGGAACTCTTACTTGACTCTGACGTGACTTACCTGGGAAGAAATACTGTATTTCAGCACTAATAAAAATTTACTAAACAAACAAGAAGAAGCGGATTTTCAAAGTGTTTCTGACTGAACTTTAAGACAAACATCCTCGTAACTGACTGAAACCACGTCATGAAACTAAGCTTTGTTTTTAATGTCTCCTGTCTTCGTCAGTGACAGGTATCTTCGTCATTAGACACTTGTACACAAACATGCAATGAAAGGTTCATAGCTGTTGTGAAACTGATGTAAAGCGTATGCTTCAGAGCCTGTAAGAGCCATGAAGAAGCCAGAGGTTGGCTGATGGTCACTAAGAGGATACCACAAAAGAGAAGGAAGAATGAAAATTTCCACTTCGAGCATGTTGTGCTTTATGGTTCCATGTGGTAAGCCTTGAGAGCTGCTCTGAAAAGCAATAACGCTTTCAGTTATATATGTATGTTTGGTTTATATCATTTTATAATCATCACAGTTTTGCTTTCTTTAACTTTTTAAAACTAAAACAGGTTTCTATTTTATAAAAATTTCACCGCTGGTTATTGCTGTGGTGATCAAAAAAAGTTTGGACGGTTGTTCGTGTGTGTGAATTCTTACGACGCTATAGCCGGTGGGCTTCAAGGTATATTTTGAAATCATATTATAAGAAATGTTAGAAAATATCCACTAGCTCTTTAAGAAAGTGACTTCCTGTGGCTCAGCTCAGAAATTACCACAGCTGCACGTACAGTTCCCACTGAAAGTTGACACCAAAATATCGAAATACCGGCCTGAGCTGCACAAAGAAATTTACCAACCCACTTTGTGTGATGACAAAAGCCCGAAGGCATGCCAGGCACTGTAACACCACCGCAAAGCACTAATTGAAGCCTAGAAGGTAATCTACTGACATAAACTGCGAGTATACAGCAAATGGATCAGGACTTTGAACATTTGAGGCAAAGTGAAACTTCGTTGGGCCCACGTTCAAACCTCAAGTCACGAACAAAAGGAAATGTGTAACTAACCAACATCACAAACGTTGAAAAACACTCATGTGTTGAACATAACTGCAAGAACTTAATGGAAGAGTTTCACCACCAATTGTTCGAAGAATGACTTTGTTGTGTAATCATTAATAAAATGGTTCTAAGTAGAAGTAGTAGGAGTAGTAGGAGTAGTAGTAGCATACCCAGAAAGGTTCTTGAGGGCTTCTTCAGTGAATCACTTTGTGATATCAGGGGTTTGCTAGTAGCATTGACATGAAGTGTTTTCTCTCATTTGTTATTTTATTTAACCACACGTAGGGAGCATTAGCACCATATCCATATTGGTATGATATTCATATGTAATACATGGGCCTATCACCCAAATGTAGAGGATGGACCCACACAATAATGGCAAGAAAATACTGTGCCACATCAAGTACTTCTTTTACTATCATTATTTTTAATCTATATGTGCAGTACATACTCAGAAATGCACACTTCTTGCATTTGTCTTTCCACTGGTTGATTTATACACAGAAATCACCAACACAGAATATGCAAAGTTCAGAATATAGCACGAGCAAGACAAAACCACCCGACAATAAAAACCAGCACTATGGTAAAAAGCTGTTTACAGCTCATGATCAGTTCTTGTTGTATTATTTTTCTATAGAAAAGACAGTACTAGTCATTCTGAGAACAGCAGGCAGGAAGAGACCACAGAAATAAATAAGCAGTACACTGCACCGTTGGTGTCTGCAGACACAGTGGTTAACACTGTAGTCGTCCAGACTTTAAAGAACAAAATGTTAACTCAGTTTCACAAAGTTGGCTTTTAATCCAGAGCTGCTGCAGTTTGCTTTGTGTTGCCTTCCCTCTTTAATGCATTAGACAGAGATTACTGAGACATGTGACCACACTTCACTTCTATGAACCTGAGTGAAACCTAAGTTTCACTAAATATCTGTCTTCACCACCATTGGTCTTTATGCTCTTTGCTTTTCTGCGTCTGTTGCATCCAGCCAGAGACATGACATACTTGTTGGAGTGCCTCTCTGGTGAGGGGGCCCCTTCTCACAAAAAAACATCCCTTCAGGTGATGAGGAAGAGCGCCATTCAGACCCACAGAAAAAGAAGAACGGTGTGTTTTAATGCTACGGTTCAAAAGGACACATGAGGTACAGATTATCTGATGAACCCCTCCACCTGGCTGTCCTTTCAGCCTTTTTGTGCGGCATGTCTCTTTGCAGATGTCCATGAGGTGGTGTGGCTTGTTTTCAGTGACAGTGACACTGGTCACAGCTGGGTCACAGCTGCTCTATCAAAGCCCTCAGAGCTTGATTGAATTTTAGCTGTTTCTTTGCATAGTCAATTTGAGTTGTGCACCTGCAATTGTGGTGTGTGTTGACCCCTGGGCAGGTGTGAGATATTATCAGTTTTGGTCTGTGTGGAGTTTCTCCCTCTCTGCAAGTATAGTAACATAGTCAGTTCATGGGGGGTTTGTTGTGTGCTTGCTTTGGGCCTAATTGGGTTACTGAGTTGAATGTTTAAACAGCCAACTGCTAAGCTTCTTAAAGTAGATAAGTAAAGGGAGGATTCCACTTTAGTTGAGGTACGTGTTTGTCTCTTTGCACTAAATGACCTGAGGCCATGCTGGGTTTCCCCCCCTTCCTGGGCCTCATGGCAGCGATAGAGGAATTTGTTGCGGTGCCATGTGAACGCTTTCTGGAAGGGGAACTAGTCAGACATCAACGCTGCCAATTGTGGTTTCACCAGGAAACTTGACTAAGAGCTAATTTAGTTGTTAATATTGTATGAAAAGGAAAAAGAAAAGTTGAAGCAAGGCAAAGCATAGACATGGAATAAAGAATGCTGAATATGGAGATGCCACGAAGGAAGAAATGAGAAAAACTTCAGATGACTCAGTATACTGAAAGGAGGATACTAGTGATTCACTGTGGAGACCCCCTAAAGGGTGATGGATGGACTCAACAAAAACAAGATGACAAATGAAATGAAACGTGTGCAGAAAAAACCTCCGCACGCACATCACGACAAACCAGCTTTGAATTTCAAGATGGATTTTATTGCAGCAGGTCAATAAAATATTACAAAGGATGCACATAGCCAGAAAAATATTTACGCCAAACCAGAAAGTGAACTGAGCCCCACCAGCCAAGTTCAGGCACAAATGTCCAACTGCAACATTTTCTTCTGTGTGTTAACTGGAGTTGCGAGTGTCGCTCTAGGTTCTGATGCTGTTGAGAGCTGCTCTTGGAGTTTCATAGTGGTTCTCTGACGAGGATCTCTTCGCTGGGCTGTCTCTGTACTCGGAGCACCCTATGTCCTTCAGACGGAGATTGGCCTCTTTTTGACTGGGAGACTTCATCTCCTCGTAGATAGGGGCCGGACTACGTGACTTCGCATTGTGGCGTGCTTTGCCCTGACAATCATTGAGCGAGGAAGAGAAGTAAAATAAAGACTTAACACACATTCTCAATTTCCTGTGTCAAAATCAAAGTTTGTCATTTTCTCTCAAGGCGACATCCTTAGTGGGAACTCTTAACCTGACCCTTTCTTGGAAAAAATAAAGGCCAATTTAAGCACATAATGTAAGTAAATGATACAAATTTGTTAAACTAAGAAGAAGAAGAGGGTTTTTGAAAGTGTTCTTCACTGAACTTTAAGACAAACATGTTGATAACTGGCTGCACAAAGTTGTGAAACCAGCGCGGTTTCTGTGGTGAGCTGCAGATCAGCCGTGATCTTAACAAACAGGTGCTGCTTGTGCTAATGCTTCAGTTAGATTTCACTCTCTTGCCCCTGTGTACGAGCATACTCAAGGTAGCACATCACAATCAAAAAAAGACACTCACTTTACATAACACACATCCAGTGAGGAGCAGGAGGAGGAGGAGAACGCCCACAGCTGATGACAAAACGTACAGCAGAGAGGAGTAACTGGAGCAACCGCACCAATGACCACCTGTGGAGAAGCAGAAAGAGGAAGACGTGTTTAAAATGTGAAACTCCATACCATTCCCCTTTCTTCAACATAGACACACAATCAGAATCAGAAGTCACTTCCTTCTTAGTTTTAAGCTGCAGTTTGAATAATATACCTCAAAAGGATATCAGATAGTGTGGAAACTTCTGCAAACTTTAGGATAAACAGCTCCAAAAAAAAAAAATCCCCTAAATGTTCATAAATAGGCAAATGTTATCAAACATCTGATAAGATTTGGTTTGCACATTAAAAGCAGGAGATATGCTAAGCAGCACAATGACCTTTAAAGCCTTAAAAACAAAGTGTACACATCCCTAAACCTGCTGAAGATTACAGGATATCTGTTTACAGAGGGGGAAATGTAGAACATCATGACAGAAATGATTACAACTTTAAAATAAGACTTCATTAGAATAAAAAACAAAAAGCTTTCAGTTGTTTCCAAATTGAAGATAAGCTTAAAGGATATAGTTCACACTACATTCAGAAACAACCCCTCAATACCAGATACCATCAAAGGAAATGAGTCAGAAATATTCCTGTTCTCATCACTAGCGCTATCAGATTGATTTGGTTAGCACCTTATTAAACTTATCTCACATGCACAATATATTAATTTCTGCTATTGTCTTTGTGTTATCAGTTTTTCACATGCCTACAGAGAAAGAAAAGGGCAAAAGACATTGGAACATTGTTGATGTGAAACTAATACAGACCATAAGCTTTGCTGGCTGTAAAAGCCCCACAGCAACACAGTGTTATTGATTACATCATCAGTGGCAGCTTTGTTAGTAAAAGCTAGAAATTTTCACAATTAGTATGGAAAGAAGTTTCATCTTGAACAGCAAATACCAGTCAGCTGAAGTCACCTGGTGAGAAACTCTCACTGTGATGTGACCCACCTTGTACAGAAATAAAGAATACACGTCTCCCTAGGCTGGTACTGCTATCGGGTTGACCGTGCAGAAGCAGCTGGCAGCTGTACAAAGCACTGTCTTCTGGCTGCAGCTGCTGCAGGGTGAGGTTGTAGGTGATGCCGCCGGGGCCGGGCGCAGAGGACAACTGGACCCTCTCAACAGGGAACTGAGAGGAGGAGGAAGAACGGCTGCTGCTGTGGTGCTGCTTTGAGTTGTACAGCAGCTCTACAGGTCCCCGACCCTTCTGCCTCTTTAGAATCACCCCCTCCACGGCCAAGCCTTCCCCACGTTGGGGGAGGCAGGGGAGTACCGCCGAACCCCCAGCACATCTCTCTATCACGTACTCTGGATAAGTGTCCACTGACTCAGGGACATCTCCAAAAGGAAAGGGAATAAAAACGATATAATGGATATGGGTGCCACTAGTAAGGATCAAGTTCCAAATCTGATTTTATTATGTGTATGAGTCTGGCATGATATGTTAAGGAGGAAATGTGCCATACTTAGGAAAAAACAAACAACCAGAACTGCTCTGTTAAACTTTTAAGATGTTTGAGGCACTGCTGAGACGCTATGTTACGCTTTTTACATCCCCAAAGAAAAAAAGCTTCATCGTAGTAGTAGTAGTTCATGTAATATGGTTTGGAAAGTGTAAGTGTAGTTTAATGCTAAACCTAAAATAAATCAAAAAGTACACTCACCAGCACCAACAAGGAGGAAGAATTCCGTCTTTGATGGTATCTTTTCATCTGCAGAGGAAAGATTTTCCACGACAAACTCGCAGTAGTAGCGGTCTGTGTCGCTGGCGTTCAGCTGAGAGATGGTGATATTCACAGAATGAAGGCTCGGGTCTCCACTGACGCTAATGCGGCTTTTGTCAGCAGAATTGTCAACTGTAAAGTCTTCCTTGGTGTACTTGAACAGCACTTCTTTATGATTCAGCCAGGTGCGTTTCAGGTAGACTCCCAAGGGCGATGGGTCCCTGTGTTCAATCTCACAGGGAAGAACGACAGATTCACCCTCATGCCGCTTCAAGAAGAGAATCTCACTGTGAGCTTTAGATGAAATTAAAATGACAAAAAAAAAGAAGCACATCACAAACAGAGAAGAACTAAACATAATTTATTTTTAGCCCAAATTTTCATAAAACTGGGGTATGCAAAATGTAAATACCAGCAATGAAGGTGTATGTGTTTGTATACGTATACAGACAGTATGCACCTAAACAAATGTTTCTAGCGAACGATAAGCTCTTTAATGCGCCGCTCTGTTGTACTACATGCAAAATGTGGTTTGGCATTTATTGAAATAAGGAAGATATTCACTGAAAAGGATGTTATTCTCAAACCAAACGGCATTATGTGACAGATTTTCAGGTTACCAGTTCCACCAACTGGCACTCTACGCCAAGATCACAAAGTGGTGAACCACTTCCCATCTTTACTTTTGAAAGAGTGCCTCTGACTCATGATAGTATTGTATAACATAATAAGGCTTTAGCTGTTACATGTTAAAAATTCAAAAGATCTCTCTACATTTTTTTCCGTTAAATGTATTGTTCAAATGCTTTGCAAACCATTCTAGTTGCTTTTTAATTTCCATTTTAGATAAGCATGTTTTAAAGTGATGGAAAGATAATTTTCACGTATTTTTTAAAACATTTCACAGATAATTACTGCAGTGGGGGGCAACAAATATATTAAATATGAAGAGTATTGTTCAGCAGAATGTAAAACAAATTGTTTGTTTGAAGTCTAGATTACAATCTATCATTGTAATAGACATTAGACTTGCCTAGTGACTATATTTCAATTTCACACTATAACAAAAGGCAAAAAAGTTCAATAAATGTGACCAGACTATTTTCACAGATTTCCAGTGCGCTCTTTTTTGCTTCTATCATTTTATCCACCAGCACTCCAAGTGACTTCAGATTCCTTCGCACAGAAATTACCCAAACCACTGTGCCGCATGCACAATTCACATTGAAAGAAAAACCAGTGATCAAACCACCACCAGCCACCAGCCTGAGGAACACAACCAAACTTACCAAACCCAATCTGCGTGATGACTACAGCCCACAAAAAAGCAAGGTATTGGATCCAAATCATCCTTTACATCACACACTTAAGATCTTGTGGGAAGCCACTGATGGAAACCATAACAGCAGAGATGCAAGTGTAAAAAACTGAATTTCAAGTGTGTCTTACAGTAAATGAAACCAAGAGGAACTCCATTAGCTCCACCTTCAAACCTCAAGACATTCACAAGAGGAAGCGCGAACAAATGAACATCACGACTGTTGGATCAGCTCCTCCTACAGCCATGAATTAAAGCATTTAACACCTCAGCTGAAACAGTTTAGGATCATATTGAGTATTTGCTGAGCACTGGCTCTAAAGAAAGAAGCAGCATGTGCTCTCTTTTGTCTTAACTTCAATTAACTTCAATAGCAGAGCTTCATTTGCATTAATTGGGTTTCACATGTTTCGGAAAAAAACTTTCCTCACATAGTATTTCTGTATGTCCCAGAGGAAATGATGCTGAAGACTCGTCCGTGAACAGGATGTGTCTGCTTTTTGATGATAATTTGCATCATTGGAGAGAGACTAGAAAATAGGTCCAGTGACTGAAGGGAGCTAAAAAGATATTTTATTACTGAAAAATTAATCAAGAAACTCAAGAAAGTACTCTGAAAACATTCAGATCTCAAGTTTTTACTGAAGAATGTAACAGCTTCAGTACATGTTAAATAAACTTGGTCTCAGCTATAAGACAATTGGATCATTCTTCAATATTAGCGATTCACCTTCTATCTACAGACAAAACTACCGAGTATTTCGTTAATCTAGATAAGAATCCTCATTGTTTCTGACTTATGGGGAATTCCAGTTATCAAAACATTCATCATGCTATTGTTCACATTCCAATTAGCAGATATAAGAAAAACAGAACAAATAGCACAGCAGTGTAATGTCATTTGAATGCATCAACAACTGAAGCATGGTAGAAAAAAGTGCATTTCGTGCAACCTCGACCTGCACAAACTAATTTCGTGCTCTAGATTTGTATCAGGAAAACCACAATTAGGTGTCAGAGGTGGCTTTATAGCATTTTTCTGAATAATGAGTCACAGTTTGAGAACTCGCTTTATTTTTGAACTGTTATCTTTACTTCAGTGGCTGAATGTGGATGCATTCAAATAAAAATCTATTAAGTAAATCTTAAGTAAGTAATACTTACTTAAGCAATTAAGTAAGTCTTACTTACTTAAGATTTACTAAATAGATTTTTATATGAAGACAGAAAACTAAACAGCAGTGATGTTTGTAGGGTTACTGAAGTTGGGCTAGCTGGTATATAATGATGTGCTACGTGACCGCTAGCGACACAGCTATGGTAGCATAATATAAACAAGCTAACTTTTTTCCACTCGATAAAAGTTTACGTGAGTGTTCTCGGTGGTCAGAAACAAATGTAATCGCATGGCAGGATGCTGTAAAAGGACCAAACTTCAGCCAGGAGAACAACTGAGATAATCCATCCACAATACGAGGTTAGTCATTCATATACTGCTGCATGGGCTGGGCTGTAGTTACATCCTATGGTTTTAAAAACTGAGCTTAAATAAATGATTAGTGGTAATAAAAGCCGAGAGAGGTCAACGGTGATCACTGACTTTTTTTAGGAGCTTTTTGAGATTAAATAGAAGAAAATACATGACATTAAACATGTTAACAACACAAAAGCCATATTAAACGCAGACTACTTTAGGCCCGGAAGTAGGATTCGTCACGTCATCACTTAATAATCGGTTTGCATGTCCACCATGACCGAAACCGGAAGTGACGTCATTTCGCGGAAATGTAGTTTTTTACCATCAGGACCTTACAAGTCTATACTTGTGTTTTTAAGTTATGTTTGACTTTATGACTTTCTGTGTCGTTTCTGGAATGCTTAGGATTCATATTGCACTACTGGAAATTGTTTATTTTGATGCATATGCTGTTGTTGTTTTTTTTTTGCAAATTTGCATTATAATACTTATTTTCGTTTTTCCTGCAGTATATAAAAATTGGTGTATTTCAAAAATAAAACTATGAAGACACTTAAAATAAATTTCCTGTGGTGGGAAACTATTTTGTGCAACTGTTTTGTATTTACAGATAAACCTCTTAAATTTCTCTAACTAGAAATATATGTTAAAAACACAAAAACGATTTTAAATTTTTTGTAACTTTTTTGCAATTTATGTAATTACTATACACTTAATGCATACATATCATTAAAATTTGGGCTATAATGGTTTTATTGATGTATATCAACTTGAAATGCTCCCAAAAATGGCACTACAACATGTAAAAATATAAGCTCTGGCGGACTTGGTTCTATGGTAGGTCTTAAAGGGTTAATACTGTATTGTACACCAACTACTCGATGGCAGGTGAAACAAATACCTTGATGAACTTTTGCACCTATGTGCAATAATGTGCAACAGAAGAGTTAAAAACGGTAAGAACAAAAGTACCTAACAAGTCAAAACAAATTTGCATGTAAAATAACTCTGAACAGAAGATTCATGTGACAGGTGAGGAGCGGAAACAATACAATATTTAACCGGAAGCCAACAGAACTGCTGAAGGACTAGTGTGACGTGACTAACAGAAGGACTTGAAGTAACTTATTACACTAACAGAAATTAGATTCCACTGAAAGTCAAGGTTTTCACTGTTTCACTATTATTTCTATGTTAATCAGCAGTAAATCACAATTCTGACCTTAACTTGGGTTAACATGCATTTAGTGATCATGAAGTTGGGGTTAAAATCTGACTAATACTCTCTGACGGAGCAGTGACTCGTAGAGGGGCAGATAGTTTCTCAATGCCTACAAGCATGAACACGTGGATGTTATAAACCAGAACGTATTTTTTTTTTAGACCCGTTAAAGAAAACAAGTGTCAACAGAAAATTTCAATTATTTTTATTAAATTGACATGTATTATTTCTGTACTTTATATGACAGCTTATATTTATTTTACTATCTGGAGAGAGAAATAAAGCATCTGATACAGAAAACCGTTATGACATGAATAAGAAGCACATGTTAGACAGACTCATAGCTATGCACAAAGAACACATTCACCTGAAATCCAATAGCTTGGTCTAAACATGAGCCTGATGGTTCAGATATTCTCGATACAATTTTATGTTCAGGAAAAAATGTGATATTGTTTTGGAGAATGTGTAAGACAGCAAGGAGAAGAAAAAAAATAAATAAATTCGAGTTTAGCCTAAATTTTACTGCTATATAAGACTAATCCTGAAATCATGGTGTTTTTCCCAAAAACACTTCAGGGGAAATTCATATTATCATTTTACTTATTACAAGGAACAAAAACAGTGATGATTCTTGAGACTGAAGGGAACTTCCCAGAGGAGAACAATCACGTTGGTGTGAAACATTTGACAGAAATTCTTTAATGTCAATGTGCAAAGTTAGTAAGATGCTGGAATTTACCTAGCAAGCACAAAAACTAAGAGCAATCAGGTTAGACACCACTTGCGAAATCAGGGTGAACTGACCCTTTGACAGAAGCCCCGGTGACACTGGCAGCCCATCCCACGACTACTTACCATGTTTGTAATTTTCAAACTCAGACAGGACAAGAGAGAGAAACTCAGTGCACATTTCAATGTCACTTCAGGCATAGCTCTTCTGACATCACACTAATGAGCCACAACCTTGAAACCACTCACAGATGAAGTGACACTAATCATCTTAAAATCTGCTGCTGGGAGACGTGTAGTCCAAGTGTTCATGTGCTGTGGCTGATTGGTGTGAAATTTAATAATACAAGGCCTAACATCCACATGTAGAGGATGGAGCCACACTAGAACATCATCAGGTACTTACTGAGTTTTAACTGACCTGTCATGCCAGCTGATTGGGTTTTAAGGCTGAAAAGCTGATATGGATGGGCTACAGACAAAAACAAATACAAAGCAGTAAGTGATATGGGCAGAGGAAACACTGTGCCACATCAAATACCTACAAGCACTTCTTTTTAAAAAACCTGCTATTTTTTGTTTTTAATCCATATATGCACTACACTCAGATTTGCACACCTGTGGTGTCTGTTCTTTCACGGATTGCTTTATAGACAGCAATCTGTAACAGGATAACCCCAGATGTCCGACAACTATGATACGTCTAGGATTTAAAACAAAACCACGCAGCAACACAGGCCAGCACTGTGGTAAAGACCAGCCAAACAAAGTGCTTTTGAAAATTATAATAGGCATTGATTTACTGTCATTTTAGAAATATAATGTTAAGGGGTTAGCAGTGGTCACAAGAAGACCCTCAGGTGTCTGTTCTTGCATTTTATTTTTCCTATAGAAATGACAGTGCTAGTTACTCTTTAAAAAATAAAAACTGCAGGGAGAAAGAGACTGCAGAAATAAGCACTACGCTGCAGACAGTGATTAACACTATAATGAAGTCTAAAGTAAATAGCAAAGACCGCACCTTAAAAAACAAATATGTTAAACTCAGCTGCTGCTGTTGGCTTTGTTTCGCTTTCCCTCTTCAATGCATAATAGAGATGACCACGACAGACACCAACATTATTAAAGCAGTCAAGCGTGTGTGTGTGTGTGTGTGTGTGTGTGTGTGTAGGAGTTAATGGGTCAGAAATGAAACTTAGCTTTTCCCTCATTGCAGACTGGGTGTACTGCAACTGTATTGCTTAATTTGCAGTTAATTCCATCATATCACAGGTACCATGCAGTATTTTGGAACATAAAGTTAGCCAACATCTCAGTTTTTGGCTGGAAGTACACAAACTCAAAGCATGTAAAATCTTAAGCTACTGAATTTATGTAAAGAAATTTTTTTTAAATTTATTTTTCATAATCAGTCTATTATTAAGGCAATGATGGATGCACTCAACAAAAAACAGATGATGGCAAACTTGGTCTTTGTCTACCTGATAAGATTCTGCCATTAAACAAATCCCTAAGCTGTGCAGAAAAACAAAAGACATCAGTACAAACCTTCATGACTCACCTCCACGCACGTCAGGACAAACCAGCATTGGATTTCAAGATGGATTTTATTACAACAGATTGATAAAACATTACAAAGGATGCATACAAGTAGACTTAGGACCAGGAAATATTTAAATCAAACCTGAAAAAAAGAATAAAACTAGAGCCTGATGAGTCATGGAGTTTATAGACTACGTAACTGGAACCAGTTTCTGAGACCCTCACCAACCAAGGTTGGGGACGAATGTCCAACAGCATCTAAGCATGCTGTGAGGGCCTCAATCATTCCACCAAAAGAAATAAACAAAAATATGATTAAATGTTTACAAGAGAAACTTGCCTTTGTAAGGAGTTGGTACGTTCATGAAACTCCAGCAGCTTCAAAAGAAATATGAATCATTTAAACACACTTCACTTCTATGAACCTGAGTGAAACCTAAGGGGAAAAATATATCCTCACATGTAATTAGTTAACAACGTTATAGTTGTTAAAAACTTATGTGGTGTTTGGCTCTTTTCAAATAAAGATGTTACGTTAAATGTCCATGTGTTCTAACAAATATTTGTCTTCACCACCGTTGGTCTTTATGCTCTTTGCTTGCAGCTAGGTTTGAAAAAGCACAAGGGTGATAGAAAGGTGTTAACCTCAAACCTAATGTGCAGGTTGCTTTGCTGCTTCAGTAGCGTCCAGCCGGAGACATGACGGGAGGCCTCATACCCATGGGAGGGCCTCCCTGGTAAGGGGGCACCATGGGAGGCCCCTGCCCATATGGAGGCATCCCTCCAGGCATGTAGCCTGGCATGCCCTGAGGAGGGGCACCATACTGACCTACAGAGAGAAGAGCACGGAGTGTTTTAATGCTACTGTTCAAAAGGACATCTGATCTCACCTGCTGTGCACCATACACCTTCCTGTCCAAATCTACAAAATTCAATTAATTATATTTTTCAAACAGCCAAATATACTTGGTTTTTTCCTGTTGCGGTTTCTTTTTTTAAATTAAACACCTACTTGACAGAGACTGCTGAGAAAAAGCTTTCAATGAAATGTGAACTAAAATGCTCCACAGACAGGTAATGAGCATAAGCTGGTAGAACAGTGAGTTACACAAAAAATGAGTTTGCTAGAACAGAAACAATTCTGTACACTGCCAAAAAAAAAAAAAAAAGGATTTACTTACCATGTATGGGATGCCTCATGCCTGGCTGCTGTGGTGGCAAGCCTTGCTGTGGGGGCATTATACCCCCCACAGCTGCCACTGGGGGAGCAGCCACATGGGCCTGACCAGGTCTTGGTGCAAGACGCTGGTAACGAGGAAGTTGGGCCTTCATCTCTTCCTGTTGGCAGGGACAATGCACAGAACAAACATTCAGACTAAAGAAACTTTGTTATGCCCCTTTACAGTACAAAAAAATGATGAGGAACTTGTACCAATGTTGACGTGCCCTGATTTCAGACTGAGGATGTTCAAGTTCAGAATCATCCTTTAACATAACCACAAAAGAAGAACTACTAAGTAGTATTAAGGATGTGCAACCAAAGTGTTTAGCTTCAAACATATTCTGAATATATAGCTGAATTATGATCAAGATATACAGAATCAAGCTGGTGGTCAAATACTGCACCAGTCTATTATTGTCTATTGCCCAATGTGCTATTATAAATATGTATCAGTCATTACTTACTGTGAAAAGGGCAAAATAGAAAGCTCAAGCAACTTACCAGTGAGATATCCTCATCAGGGTGGATCAACTTACTAGTTGCACTCGTGGTGGTGAGGGTAGCAGGCTTACTGGTCACTGTGGCTGGGGGTTTGGCCACAGTGCTGCTAGAGGGATTAGAAGAAGTGGAAGAAGAAGAGACAGAGGGCTGGGTGTAGGCAGGGAATGTTGCTTTGGGTGGGTCAGTGGAGGCAGCTGTGCTGAGGGAACTTGAAGCTCCTGCGACTCCTGGAACAGTCTGCTGGGCCTGTGCAAAGACACCATACATATAACTGATTTTTTTAAATTAATAATAAGATACTAGCTTAATGTTGCAATATGCAAAAAAGGAATGAAAATAACCCCAAAATAAATTCATTTAAAAAATTACAGTGAAAAGATGACATCTCAGTAACAACATTAAAAAAAATGGAAAAGTTAACTAATCATTTGATTTAAGCTTTACGTTTTAAAGCACTGTAATGTACAAGTGTATTATGATTTGGTTACTCTGAAGCTTAAATATACAAATTACACATGATTTTAATAATCCCAATTAATTTGTTTCCATTTTATTTTAATTGGAACAAAGCTGTTGCGCTATTTTGTCTCAACCACAGTGCAATTTTTACATTAAATGGAGAAGAACTAGAAGTATCTATAGCACTTCAGATGGGAAGAACTCGGGTTAAGGGAGAAAAATAAAAATCTTGCAAAATCTGTTGGGTACTAATTGCATCATGCTCCTGAGGTTGAGAGAGAGTGGAAGATTCTAAATAAAGTTCTTCTCATCTTAGGCCTATTTTAACTAAAGCGCATGCACACTAATGAAGCTCACAAACAAAACATGTCAGTTCTTGTCAGAGATGCCCATCCTGTGACACCAACATCATGGCCAGCATGGCTATTTTGGTGCACAAGTAGACTTATGAAGCAAATATGGTTAGTATCCAGCCATGTTTAAGTTTGCAAATTCAGAATTTACAGGCAGTGTTAATAAATATTCAACATGCAGCTGCCACAGAGCACAGAATCCTGTCTGTGAGCATACTTGTAGCATATTAGGAAAGGGAGGCTGGGGAGACGCAGACTGAGGGTCTGCAGATGGAGAGGAGACAGCTGCTGTGCTGCTGTGAACACCAGAGCCCATCTGCAGCATGGTGGAAAGGAAACCACAGCGTTTGCATGTAACATGTCTACAATGTTTTTTAATCTGAATTTTACCCTTTACAACATACTCTAAACAAGGTTAGAAAGCGAAGGGACACATCAGAAACAAGAACAAATGGGAAATAAAATTTTCCCCCTGGTATACAAGACTAATTTTAACTAGCTTATCTAAGTGGGGTTTCTTTTATGTTCTACTTCTGACGATTTGTTTATCAATCAACCAGAAATGTAGCAAATATGAGCAAGTGACACAGATTCCAAGCCTAAATTTTGAGCCTGGAAAAATCCTATTATGTATACAACGACATCATAAAACACCCTGTTGACGGTTTAATTCCAGATAAAGTAAACTGCATTAACAACATGAGACCTAAGAAAACAATAACATCTCTTTGAGGCAAATGTCTAAAGAAGTCACTGCATGTGTGTTAGTGGGGTTACAATGCCCACCTGTGCTGCACTGGGGAAGAGAGGTTTGGTGACAGCTGGCTGGGCCGCTGGTGCGGCTGGTCGAGTGACTGCAGGGGCTGGGGCCATGTGAGGAATTCCTGGCCTTGGGGGTATGTGGGGTGGGACTGCTGTAGGATGAACCGGAACCAGGATCAGAAGTGTTTACATGATCACATTTGTCAAATTTAGTTCTTTGTGTAATATAAGTTCAATGGTTGTTTCTGAAATGCAAGCACAACTCACCCGGGGGTATCCCTGGCATCATTGGGGGCATCATCCCTCCCATTGGCATCATACTGCAAAAAGCAGAGACCCACAGAAAATTGGACACACTGATCTGACAGTGAACTACAGTAAAACTGCATTTCAGTTAGCTCCATGGTTGTATTATCCCTACAGACAAAACACTGGATAGTAAAGTTACTATTAAATCAAAAGTTAGTAAATGAATTACCCTGGTGGCATTCCAGGCATTGCAGGAGGCATGCCATGCATCATGTGAGGAACACCGGGCATCATAGGAGGCATTCCTGTAACAACGGGTTAGAGAAGATTTATTTAGCAATAACTCATCATGCCACACAAACAATCAAACAAGTAGGCAAATAAACACAGCAAAAGGATACACATACATAAACTACATTTTCACAGGCTCCATTTAGTTTCTTGAATGATTTCAGTCGTATATTTAGATATTTGTGGCAAAAAACTGAAGGAGTGTGTTAAAAGCATACATGAGAGATCATCTATAGGGTTAAAATAGATACAACCGCTGAACAAAAATTATTTGTTGGTGCTCTCTGGTGGACAAACTGCATTAATACTGTCAACTTTTTAAGAAGGTAGCTAAAAACTTACAAAAATACTAAGATATATACTGAGGTGGATTTGTTGGTTAATTACGGGTCATGCGTGCCCAACAATTACATCAATTATCTGAGATTGTTGATGAATTTAGAGACACATCCAGCAGGAATGTGTTATGTAACGTGCTACAGAAATCAAATTCCCATGTCTCCTTAAATGCAGCTGTGATTCAGCAGTAAAATCCATCTAGCAAAAACATTTAAAAATATTGTGAATTTGTGGATGCTAGATTTCCTAGCATTAGAATTACAATTCAATTGGAAAGAAAAAGAATACTTTTAAACTGAAATAAACCTGGAATGAACTTGAACTTCTATCGACTGGCAAAAGGAAATGAAAAGGATGTGAAGGATGGCGACATGAGAAAACTACTGCAAAACAATTCAACACAATAACGGTTTTAGATAAAAAGCAGAACTGCAACTGGAATTAAAAGTTGCTCAGCTGCGAAGCCCGTTTCATATGTGTAGTTGATGCATAGATTTTTAAGTTTGTAAAAAAATAAAATAAATAAAAAACCTTGCCTTGATATCCTGCAGGAGGAATCACTGGTGCTCCAGCCACAGGAGGGATCCCAGGTTGTGCCATTGGAGCAGCATAGCCTGCCTGGGCCTGGACCACAGTGACCTGCTGAGCTGACGGTCCAGCTTCATCATCATCAGACTCATCAGAGTCATCCTGATTGTTTGACTTCTTCTTTTGACTCTCTGAAAACAGAAAATGTTGACACCTAAGCAAAATCTTATGTAACCCATACCATAACATTATATTAGATTACTAAGACTCGTGCATCATATTACAAACCCCATAATATAAACCAGGTTTTAGTCAACACAAGCACAGCCCTTACATAGGTGAACAAACCTTGTGATTTCTGTTCTAACGTTCGCCTTCGTTCCTGCATGTCTTTATCTGGAATTCCCTCCATGCCATAGATTTCCAGCTCGATGTCTGTTCTTCCTGGAATTGCATTTGGTACGCTGTCAATCGTCTCTTTGTGCACCTGAAAAATATGCAAAGTGAGTCACCACAAACTCGAATAACTACTCGATTACCTGTAACTAATGTGTGTGTTTTTTTTAAACAAAGATGCTACAAATATTAATATGGTTATTAATAATTAAAAACCCATACCTGCATGCAATGAATAGCCAAGCCTGGGCCAGTGTACAACTTCTTGTGGCAAATGTGGCATTTAAAATGTTTTGCCTTTTGATGCTGAATGAGGATCTTTTCATCGTCGAAGTCTCGATTACAGTACCTGGAAACTGAAGTTAAGGGCTGCCCAGTAACACTGCACAAGATCGAAATTCAGCGACCATACAAGCCGGCAAAATAACATAATAACTGCTTAACATAACCATCACTCTCAGCGACTAAGTAGCGCAAATCGTCTGGTTACACAAATCTAAAGACGGATCAGTCCTGAAGATTGAATCATAAACGAAGCTAAATGCTAACATAGCCGTTAATATCCAAGGTATTATTCGATTCCTGTAACCAGCACCACGAACCCAAACTCTACTAGAAATGAAATACAACCGATACCGAGTATTTTACAGCTTTAAAAATATCTCATTAAGTAAAAATCAACCAGCAAAACTCTTAAGTTCGTGAGTGCCAGTCGCTAATGCTAACGCAAGCTTTAGGGCGTCAAGAGGCTAGTTTGGGCCTTCCCTTTGTCGAGCTAACATGTAGCCCCTCGTCTTTCCACAGCGGCATTTTGTCGTCGAAACAAAAAGGATACCAGCACCATGGCTTCATCTGCTTCTTCTTTTTTCGCCCCATTTTATGAAATACTGGAAAACCGGTATCAAAACTCTAAACACTTGTCTTATTATCTGTTTGAGAACAGCATGCTGTAATCCCGTGACAAGGCCGAAAATGGCGCTTCAATGGCGGAAGTTGTAACGAACGTATTCTCGCGCGAATACGAAATGAGCGTCACAGGCACGCCCAGAGGTTCAAAACAGGAAGCACGGTAGGCAGGATAGCCGACAGGTGAAGTAAATAACTGATTTCACTGCAATGAAATATTCTGGCGAACCTTTGGTGCTGGATAGCACTTGGAGACTTAAAATGAAGTGTGTCTCATTCCATCATTCCTTCATAGCAAAAACACTCCCCGATGGACAGACCTCCCAAAGCCAGCTCGCCATGTAACATGCAACTGTCTTGATCATGGCTAACACACTGATGTCTCACGAAAACGTTCATGACTCACGAAGTCTTAAAACAAGAATATTAGCAGATTGGGCTGATGGTCAATGATGTCTTATTTGGAACTTAACTTACAGGACGGTTTTTCTCTTTACATATTATTTATTCTAACAGATCCCTTTACTGAAATAACTGCTGACATTTTCTTGTATTGCTATAACCATTGTTAGAAGCGTTTATCCACCAACATATTTAAAAGCTTTATGGACACTAAAACATTGTTCATGATTGACTGGCAACTGTAACCCAATAAATGTGCAAAGATCTACTTTCACCAGAAAGATGAACTAAAGTTATCATCATGATAGGTATTACGTGTTTCATATATTTTTAACAAGATTAAAAACAAGAAGTAATGATATAGCTGCATGGGCACAGATTACAGCAGGGGGATTATATCATCAATAAATAGCTGCCACATTATCCATATTTTTCTTTTAACCAGTGTTGACTTTTTTCTTGTTGCGTGGAGTCTAGAGGTTTCCATCGTATAAATGGAAAAAATATATACTAGGTGTAAAAACTACAGTTTTGTCGATAACAAAACTGGCTTTTGTGCGCCACTTTTGCATCTGAGGGTGGTTTTTATTTAAAAAATGGTTTTACTATAATGAAATTTAATATACTTATATTAATATAAGGTCTGTGGGACTATTTTGATGTAGTTCTAAAGTTTTGTCACAGGATGGTGGTGTTTTCTCCTGCATAACATGCAGTCATTCCAGTAAAATGTATACAGAACCAAAAAAAATGCTTTATCTTCAAGATTATGTTCACGTAGCCAGACAGCTAAATATCTATACCTTTTGCTATTAAGTTGTTGCAATGCCAGGTGTATTTACAGCTAGGTCCATATATATTTGGACACAATACAAATACAATTATTGTTATATAATGGACATGGGCATAATGTGTAGAGCTTTCATTTGAGGGTATCCACATTCAAATTGGATGAAGGATTTAGGAGTTTCAGCTCCTTAACATGTGCCACCCTCTTTTTAAAGGGAACAAAAGTAATTGGACTAATTGGCCCATGTATTTCATGGGCAGGTGTGTGCATTCCTTCATTATGCCATTAATGTGGTGCTTGCATTTGGAAGAGTTCGCTGTCAACAGACAATATGCAGTCAAAGGAGCTCTCCATGCAGATGAAAAAAAGCCTTCCTTTAACCTCGAAAACAGAATAAACCATCAGAGAAAGACAACAGTGGTGGATGATCAACAAAAGCCAACCAAGTGAACAACATTCAGAAGGTATCAATATCCAAGTCCACCATAAAGAGAAGACTACATGAAAGTAAATACAGAGGGTTCGCTGCCATCTGCAAGCCACTCCTAAGCCTCAAGAAGAGAAAGGTTAAATTTAAATTTGCTTAAATAGAAATGAAATGAAAAAAAAAACAACAACAAACAAACCCCAAAACAAAAACAAAATCCATAAAAAAACAACATAGTCCTGAAAAAAACATTTTTTGGCAGATGAATCCAAAATCAACCTCTACCAGAATGATGGCAAAAAATGGAAGAGCTCATGATCCAAAGCATACCACATCATCTGTAAAACATGGTGGAGGCACTGTTGTGGCTTGGGCATGCATGGCTGCCAGTAGCACTCTGACACTAGTTTTTATTGATCATGTGACACAGGACAAAAACAGACGAATGAATTCTGAGGTGTTCAGAGACGTGTACAAAGAAATGCTCAAATCCAGCTAAATGCAGTCAAATTGATTGGGTGTCATAATACAGATGGACAATGACCCAAAACATATAGCCAAAACAACCCAGGAGTTTATTAAAGCAAAGAAGTGGAATATTCTTCAAATGCATTTCACTTGATCAAGACTAAACTTCAGACAGAAAGGCCCACAAACAAGCTGCTGCAGTAAAGGCCTGACAGTGTTAAAAAGGAGAAAACACAGCATGTGGTGATGTCCATGAGTTCAAGATGTCAGGCTGTCATTGGCAGCAATCTTTTGTTCAACCCACTGAATTAAAGCTGAAAATCTGCACTTTAACTACATCTGAGTGTTTTCATTTAAAATTCTTTGTGGTAATGTGCAGAACCAAAATTATAAAATAAACATTTGTCTCTGTCCAAATATATATGGACCTAACTGCAGTTACTAAGTAAAAGGGAAAATGGGGTTTAGGAAGAGAGACTTCTGTCTTTCTGCTTTCCTCCTTCTTTTCTTTTATATCTCTCCTTATTTTTTGTTCTGTTTTTCTGTTTCTTTTTCTCTTTTTGCATTCCTGTTATGTTGCTCTTTCTTCAACTTTTTTCACTTTATGTCCATGCTTTCCTAATCTCTTCTGTTTATCTACTACTTCCATTTCTAGCCTTCTCCCTTTTCATCTCGGCTTTGCCTTCGTCAGTTTTTAAGGTAAGCTCCTAAAAAGACACACAAAGCATTTTATTTTCATTTTGAAAAGAAAAAGTCTTACAATCCATCATATTATCATGTAACTCAAACGATGAGGTAAAATGGCATTAGCTCAGCGTTTTGCATGGCTCGTGAGCCTGATGAGCTTGATCTCCTGCTCCAGCTTTCTCACCATGTTGACAAACTCCTCACCATGGAAAGCTGCTTCTCTTTATTGTCTCTTCTCTGTTTCTGAAGCCTTTTCTCTCTTTCTTTCTTTCTTTCTTTCTTTCTTTCTTTCTTTCTTTCTTTCTTTCTTTCTTTCTTTCTTTCTTTCTTTCTTTCTTGCTGCCAGCTCACATCTGAGACAGTCCTCCAAAGCTTTGAAATTTTTCTGGCATTCAGTTTTGCTCTGGTGGTGTTTCGACTTAATTGTTTTCAGCTTGGCCAAATGTTTTTCTACCAGTGCCATCATTTCAAGTTTGAAAATTCAGCTGTCTTGGATGAAGTTTTTCCACAGTGTTCCTACAGAGTTTTAAACTCAATGGTCACCCCCCCCCCCCCCCCCCCCCCCCGCACCTCCCTGCCAGCTTTGCTGTTGTGTTTAGTGACAGCTTCACCTCATTGCCTTGTTTGCACTCTGTCGCTTGGTGTTTTTTGACCTTCTCACTCTCACTCGGCTGGATGCTCAGATTTTCTTTTAAGATCCAACCTTACTTCTCCTTTTCTTTCAGTTTTCTGTCAGTCTCCTCGCACATAGTATCAAACTGTTTTTCACTGCTTTTACAAAGCTTTCCAAGTCCTGTCTGGCCATTAAAAGTGTCGACACTTTCTTGAGCTCCTTTCCAGCAAATACCTCCCCAGACAGCAGTATTTTTTTTCTCCTGTCAGCTCCTTGGATTTTTGTTGTTGTTGTTGCTTGTCTTTTTAAGTCCAAAAGGGGTTTGTAGCAAGATGTGCTGCATTTTGCTGGGGTATGTGCATGTAGGTATGCGATTTCCTTAGCCTAAAAAGTTCAAAAATGAAGTAAAAATACATGTTCACAGTTAAATGCAATAAACTATTTACATTTTGATGAGCCCTAACAAGAATCTGTGAACTATGAATGAATATGAACTTTTAGCCAGCTAAACATTCATCACTTATCTTATAAATAATTTATAAAAGTTAATTATCACAAGAGTTTACTTACATGCGCAAAAGACACAGAGGATTTAATGTCAGAGAAATTTTCCATCATTCACAGATTTTTCCACTTTCAGTCCAGTCGCCAACAGTGTCTTCAGCCCTTCAGATTCAAAATGTAATGCCATGTCATGTATTTGATTTCTCTCTGAATTTCCAACTTAGTTATAACTAAAAATATATTTTGCATTCAATTTGAACCCATATTGTGGACGCGGCGGATTTTTGTCCCAGATGTAATAAATTCCCTCCAAGGCATCCTGATAGATCACATTTACAAGAAATTGACAGATTTCTGACCGGTGACGCTGGAAGCTCAGGTAACACTGATAGATGAAATAGAACGGCGCACAACTTGTTTTGGCCACTAGGTGGCGATAGTACTTCAAGAACAGTACATTGGGGGTTTCAGGCTGTGGAAATTGGGTGGAAAGGCTTTCCAGAACAGCTGTTAGTAATGGTTTATATATACATTTCATTAGGAAACGCTCTCATTAGAAAACGTTCGATGGTTACTCTATCTGTACCAACACACAGTGTCGATTACGCTTATCGTCCATTACAATTTAGAGCCAAATATACATGTATTTGAGAGGTTTAGTAACCGTTAGGTAATCAACCCAAACAGGAAAATAAGGTGTAACAACATTGACAATTTTAATGTATTACAATACCCAGTATTTAAAATCAAGTCCAGACTGACCCACTGCAATGTAATAGTGATATTTTTATCACTCCTCATTACTTTTGGTCCTTTAAGTGTACTTCGTACTTGTCTCTGTGTGCACCTTCATGTTTAAACAAGGATAAATAAGTAACAAGTGTTTCTCGCAGCAGGCTGCATAAATGCTGAGATGCAACAAATGTTTCCAGACAGATTTTCCTTTCCTGCGGCCTCTCGTTTTCTTCATCAAGGTGAATGATTACCTCTGAAAGGAAAGATTTATGAAGGGGAAACACAACTGAGGCGGCTTTCCTTGGCTGCATAATGAATTTTTCATCGTAGGCCTTCAAAACTGCTACTCCATGGTTGTACCGGCTAGACAGAGAAGATGTTCAGTGACAGCTTAAGGGGTCCCTTCTCTGAATGAATTATAGCTGATTCTTGTATTCTCACACATTTCATTGATCACTCTGACATCTGCTTTTTTTCACAAAGGCTCTTACCCCAGCTCTCTACTCTCTGTATGGCCCTATAATCGCTTCCTCCAACTTTTAAGTTTACATTTTACACATAATCCTGTTTTAAAGCTGCTCAGTTTGAGCACTTTTTTCTTTGATATTGGACAATATCCTCTGTCCTTCCTTCCTTGATACTGAATCAACCGACATTAATGTTTCCAAAGAAAGTTGTTTAAATACAATCATCATAGGCATGAATGTCATGGTCATTTTTAATTTATTTGATCTTTTTTTTTCCCCGGGTTGGTTGGTTGGCGTTGCGTTTCTTTATTTTTTTTGGGACTTGTTTTTTTTACAGACTTTAAATGTTTGGGAACTGAGAAAACCACTTGCTGCATTTCTGAAAGCCAAATGTTTTCCCCATTTCTACTGAGCAGCTGTTCAACACTTCAGGGCCTCCTTTGTTGTAATTTTTATTTCATAATGTGTGCAGTGAAGCTCCTCTTTATTACTTCACAAAACAGCATTTGCTCATGGATAAATTGTACACATTGTACAGATAAATGATCACACACACACGCAAAGATTGAGGTTATGGTGTTTTATTGATTAGTGTTGTTGGCAGGGTCCAAGCTGGGAGTCACAAAAATAAAGATTAGATTGGAAATCTTGGTTATGCCAAATAAACAAAATCATTTTAACTGATGTCACTGAAGTGAAATAAAGGATAGAAGTTAATGAGTGCAATAACTAACCCTTTTATCTGTGTTTCCTTTCCCTGGTGTAAGTATACAAGTAGAATAAGTATACAAACTTATATTTTCAATGATAGCTTGTCGGTGAATTGTTTTCTATTTAAATAAAGTTCACAATATTTGTAAATTTATCTAGTACTAATAAAGTTTAATATTAGTAATCTGATTGTGTAATCCATTAGTTTAGCTGACTTTTTAATAGCAGTCCACAGAAGTTCAGCACATCAGAGGATGCTAAACCCACATGCCACCTCAGATGAGAAGTGGTATTTTGTGGTTTGTGATGTTTGTCTAAAAAGGCTCTATAGAAATAACATTTTACTTAATTACTTTTTAGTTTGCTTTTTTATGTTTTTTCTAAATTCATTGAAGCCATCCACAGGACGGGCCACAAGCCAGTGTCACTCCTAGTGTCACTCCTAGTGTCAGTCCTACACTCAGATAAAAGGGCAGGACTACGTCAGGAAGAGCATCCGGCGTAAAATCTTTGCCAAATCAGACATGCGGATACAAAGACCACAGATGAGGTTCATCGATGGAGTGATGGAGGAGATGCAGAATGTTGGTGTGACAGAGGAAGACGCTTGGGACAGGGTGAGATGGAGGCAGATGATGAGTTAATCTCTAATGCAGGTTTTTGATGCGTCCTTGATCCAGCACAGCTGATTTAAATGGCTAAATTACCTCCTCAACATGTCTTGAAGTTCTCCAGAGGCCTGGTAATGAACTAATCATTTGATTCAGGTGTGTTGACCCGGGGTGAGATCTAAAACCTGCAGGACACCGGCTCTCGAGGCCTGGAGTTCCCTACCCCTGCTCTAACAGGAGCAGCCAAAAGAAGATGCAGCTGAAAGAAGACCTGCTGGTCTGTACTTCATTTCCTCCTCCTTTAATCCAACTGCCAAATGTTTTGGCATTTTGTGTTTCAATCTTTGATTAAAATATTTGAAATGATTTTATTTGATCAGTCCGGTGTGTGTGTATATATATATCCATGTATGAAACAAATTTATTTGGTCAAGATATTTCTTGGCTTAAAATATTTGAGAAAGTGCTATGACCTGCTGTCAGGATGCTGTAGTAACAGAGAGTTGGAGCCACCCCGAGCAAATGGAAAAACAATAACAAAGGCATGCATGAGTCCAAACACTCACAACAAAGGTGAACAGTACACTTATTGTTGGGCACATTTAGATTCTACATTGCTAAAATATATTATTGTAAAATTGTGTGACAGATGGACAAACAGCATCATTAAAAAAAACTGGTACAGAAGAGGGCAAAATCAAGCCATACGTCATCTTAACCACTTTTCTAGTTCAGGGTCAGAGGTGGACTGGGGCTTGTCTCAGGTGTTACAGAGCGAGAGGCGGGGTCCACTCTGGTCAGGCTGTCAGTCTATCACAGAGATTGCAAAAATCCAATACATCAGTATTTGTTTCTGTATAAAACTGTTTAATGCACTCCAGTATTTACATATCAAATCTAGAAAATATGCACAATGTTAAAATAGCAGTGATTTGCCCCTCATTCAGTTTTGTGCCATAGCCCTTATTATATACAATCCCAGGCCATTAATAATCAATCTTTAAATAGGACACATATAGTATATAGCTAACATATCACAATGCAGACCGACCAGACGATTTACACAACATACCAATATCACAATCTTTAAAAAAAAAAATCAACAGCAAACACATGTTAAAATATTAATCTGTATGTAATTATATTATGTTTGTGCCAAGCAGTTACCAGTGTAACATGAGGTTAGAATACAGTACAGTTTAAGACTTACAGCTTGGGGCTGGGGTCGCTTTCTGTCTCGGTTCAATCAATTAACAAATTAAGTTGTGTCAGGAACTAATGAGAAGACCATTGATTTCTTTGCCCAGTTGATCCTGAACTGAGAGGGAAACAACCCCAGCCCAGATGTATTCGAGGTCAGGCATGTGTGTTTGTCTACATTTGGTAATGAAGAAAAAGAAAAAAAAGATGTATTCAGAATGGCCCGGATGTCTTTACTGCTGTGTGTATTTATTACATTTCAATAAATAAACTTCTTTTAACTCTTTGCAGATTTTTATTTTCACCTTTGCAAAAACTACTTAAAATGAAAATAACTTTACTCTTCTTGGTGTCAGTAAAACATTTGTTAGAGAAAATATAGCATTCAACTGAAAAAATTAGACCTATTTCACGTCAAAAAAAGCAACACTTGTTACGGGCTGTGCTCTTGCTGCTATTAACAATGTTTTGGCATATTTTTTTAAGCAAAAAGCCTGAATGGCACTTCCGCTTCTTTTCTTTTCGCACACACAATGATACATTTGTTGCACTCACACGAAAGACACAAGTTTGAGGTTGAAATTGTGCCGAACACAAATTGACTGAACCCTGAACTCACAGTCTCCTTCAAACGGTAAATTCATAATAACCTCTGAAGGTAAACTGTGCCTACACACTCCTCCGTTTCCTGTGAAACTTGGGGAAGATTGACTATCCTGTTGCCTGTTATATCCTCTCATGCTCATGGGGTGCTTGTAATTATGACAAAACACCAGCTTAGACTAAGTTCTGATATACTCTCCTTCATTTAGAGGAGTTTCAGAGACGTCTCCCTTCAGAAAATGGTTGTAGGATTTTACTGCTGTCACCCTACACTACAGGCAATTGTGCAGAAATACTTTCATCAGGCTGATGTCTCCATGAATAGGCACCATTGGATCGAGGGAAAAGAGGCAGAGAAGGTCAGGCCATGCAGACAGCTCTTCTTCTGCCTTCTGTCCCACTGGTTGATACTCTTGACACCAACATCCAGCAGACATGGAGACAAAGAACGAGTGGAGATTAGCTTGTATGGTGAGTGTGAGCCAATGTAAGGCTTAACCAGAAAACGTAGCACACGTGTCCAAAAAAGTTTACTGTAACACAGAGGGCTTCTGCATGCCAAGTATCATTGCATCGGAGCACTGGATGTATGAGTAAAGCGGTTGTCAGACAACTCTGACTGGCTCAAGATGAGGCTCGGTTAGTGAAGGCCCGGGTGACTTATCCAGCCAGGAATAAAAGGGATACAGTGTCTTCTGTGCCTCTAATAAGCAACTCATGGTGGTGGGGGCAGGCGCACATCAAGCAGGCTGTAGGCAAAAATGTTCCAGAAAACAGCGCAGAGCACAAACAAGGTGTAGACACAGAAAAATATCCAAAACAGGGACTGCTCCTGGAGCCGCTGCTCATAGTTCTGCAGAACAACCACACCAAGCGTCAGGCCGACCACCACTCCTCCCAGGTGAGCTACAAAGCTGGGATTCGGGCATGGAGGAAAGGCCGGAGGGTAGAACCGGAGCCATACTGCTCGACCAAACTCTACACTCACTGTGGACAGAAAGGAGAAAGGAAGACATAATGGCAGCGAGATGTGAGCATGTAGGTGAAAACAGCAGCACTTTATTAAAAATAAACAGTCCTGACTTTGAGGTAGATGAGCTATGATAAAAAAAGAAGGATGTCGAGATTTCTTAAAATAAGACATAAAGCAACAGTGAACCTTTGTTATACAAGTTTCAATTGCTCTCATCCTTTCTCTTGTGTATTTGACTTGATCTGCTCCTAACAACCTTCTAGTGGAACTGGGGGTGAAAAATTCGACAGTCCTTGTGCTGCTGCAAAATTACATTCTGAAGTTTTATGCAAAGTTATTATGAGGCTTCAGCTTCAATAGCCAGGATTTTGCAAATCAAGTGGATGAGCATGTTACACACTCAAAGTCAATATTAGTGCAACTTTCCCTCTTGGGGTTTCACAGACATATTTTGCTACTGCGTTTATGTGGCAGGATAGTAACAGAAAGAGGGAGGATTTTTATTTGATTTAAGACTGACTGGAAGCAACTCACCCAGCTATTTGGATGGAGTGTGTCAAAGGTTACGAGCAACAGAGGAAATTTAGTTTAATTTCAGTGAATCTGGCACGACTACAGTTTTTGATTCGCTGCTTGTTTAGTTGTTGTTTTCTGTTTTTGGAGAAAATCACTTTGAACTTGTCAGATCTGGGTTGCCTGGAATCCCATCTAGCCTTGCAATGAAGTTTGCTTACATCACCCCATTGCAGTGCATCACAACAATCATAGTGTCTTAGCAGCGAGAAATCCTTCATGTGCTGAAGCTCCAAAGCCAGAAAGCTTATTATTGTAGCATTTGGAGAAAATAAACACTTTTTTTTTTCAAGAACAGGAACATTTGTTTTGACATAATTAATTTCTGGTGCTGAAGTAGTAACACAGCAAAACTTTTCTGTTGAACGAGAAGTGTTAAGAGTGGGAGTGTGGCATATTTATTCAGACTTACTGCAAACCAGAGCCATGGCCATCCGAAATAACTTAAACTGACACTTCATTCCTGACCAATTCTGCAAAGAAGAGAAAGAGAGAGTGGAGAAATCATAATGAAACACATTTCTGATGATAAAGACAGAACTAACTCTGCTAGAAGAGAAAGTCCTCCTTACATACACACTCACACACACACAAACAGACATGCATGACTACCTGAAATGACCTTAGATTGTGCCCTTTGTCTGAATTCACGTCAATTTTAAATGCTCCAGAGACACTCTGACCCCCAGTCTGTTCTTGCTGTGTTAGATAATAAGATTTCAATGGAGAGGAGGAACACAAACTCCTCCATACTGACCTCAAGAATGCTGTGAAGGATGTAGCAGGATACATAATGAGAACCCCACTGCACAAAATAGAGGTTCACCTTGACTGATATTTGCTACATGTGTCTAATGACCTGCTGACCAAACAGAGTAGGCACAGAAGTCAAAGGACAGCAGAGTGCATTGAGATGGGATGCATTTTATTCGCACTCTGTCACGTAAACATGTGCACACGCTCAGATGCTTTTCTGATCTTTGAAGGAATGGGAGAAAACTGACGGTGAGGAATGCATGGCATCTGTAGATAAAGCGGCACCTGTCGAGGGGCCACTGTAGGCTACTTTGACGATACGACAATGATGTGTAGAGACAGGAACACTGAGTGATGTGGTAATCACTGATACACATGTGCGCACACATAGCATGTGCATGTAAATGGAAAACTTACCATTACTACATTGGCTAAATGTGCAGAGACCAGGGCGTAGACTCCCCCAGACGAGCCAACCACCGGAGCCGTCATATCCGTGACAGACACGGCCAGAGACCCTGCAGTGATGATAAAGGCCACATGTCAGTGAAAATTTATAAATAAATGATGCCATCATTTTACTTTCTGATAATTCATTGAAGAATGATCTTTTCAGTCAATCTTTGTTAAAACCTTTGTTTAAAAACAAACAAACGCTGGGGTTTTTCTTTCTGTTTTAAAGCTGCCACTGAAATTTGAAGTAATGATCAAAGCCTAGGGGATATTTAAAAGGTGACATTAGACAGGTATCCAAAATAGTGAAATATATAGGATTTCATTCAACCACACCTAAGAAAACTTTCAAGCGATTCAACTCCCTGACTTTCCTTAGGATTAATTCAGTTTAACTCTATTTAACAAATCTATCAATTATATACTTTCTGTTGAAAAAAAAAAGGTACTTTTAATCTCAGCTTTTAAGCAGGCAGTCACAAAAACTACTTTATTACTAGAGGAAAGACAAACTTAACCAAACCACTGACTGTATCACCGGCAACCTCTGGGGTCAGTGTGAAAGCACAAAAAACTGCAATTACCCAAAAGGCCACTTGAGGACGGCTTCAAAAGCAACTCAGTCAGACCCCCACAGACTCCTCTGTAAAAATCCCAAGTTCAAAGCAAAAAGAAACATGTCTGCAGTCTAAATGTTTTGGTCTCTGTAGCCTCTGTTCCTTTACCTTGAGAAAACTATACGAGAGGCTTTTTTTTTTTTAACAATTTTTTTCATATCTATAAATCCTCCCTTTAAAAACTATTTTAAAGTTGCCACTTTGAATCATAGGTATGTGCATGCTGTTGCTTCTTGTGGCGGAGGTGTGGTCCCTGGCTCAGCTGCAAGGGAGGAGCGGTGCAGTGAGCTCAATGGGGCGGTGCTGGGGAGGCAGGTGAGAACACAGCTGGTGGCGTTTGGACTGATGATGGTCTTTTTTCCCCTTTTAGACGAGAGAACTGGTTGTTGGAAAAGCTGAGACCAGCGCTGATCAGACTGTGGGTTGTTGCACAAAGAGCCCTGAATAAACATGACATCTGGGAGCATAAACAGTGTCTGTGCAGAGTGCATTCTACACTTTTTAGCATCTGGTTAGGTATAACAACCTAATGCCAGCAACTGCACTGACCAGCTCAGCAACACCAAAAGGCCTGAAAAGTTGATGATTGCAGAATTGTTTCCTTCTAGAGAGATTGTCAAGGTCTACAATCAAAACACTTTCATGAGTGTAAATAACTGGTACTTATAGCCTCTTTCTACTCAATTTGAGCACTCAAAGCACTTTCTACTGCAAGTCACAAACATTCATACAGTGTTTTAACCTATCTATGACTAAGCGTCTTATCTAACAGTGCACACGCTGAGGGCAGCTCTTGCCCAAGGATGCTTTGACATGGGAACTGGAGGAGCCGGGGATCAATCTACCAACCTTCTGATTGGTAAACAACCACTACCAATGTACTGTAATGACAGAACATATCGCAAACTACTGGTTACACTCAAGAGCAGGAAGATCATATTAGACTTTCTAAAAGAGCCCTGCACAGGTCTGGAAAAAAAAAGTATTTGGACAGATGAAAACTGAGCTGGTGGTGGAAGCGGAACAGCTCATGATCCAAAACATACCAGACATTATTTGTTAAACATGGTGGAGGCAATGTTATGGTTTGTGCATGTATACCTGCCAATAGAAACCAGCTAACTAGTGTTTCTGATGTGACTGCTGATAGAAGCAGGAAGATGGATTCTAATGTGTAGAGGCCAATATCACCTACTCAGCTAAATGCTACAACGCTGATTGAGCTACAGAGCACAAATGGATAATGACCCAAAAGCAAAAGCAATCCACAAGTGTTTCAAGACAAAGAAATAAAATCAAGTCAGTCACCTGATCTCAACCCAAAAGAGCATGGTTTTAAGTTGAAGATAGAAAACTGAAGTTAGAAAGTCCGACAAACAAGCGAGAGTGGCTTCAGTTAAGGCTTGGGATAAGTCCTCAAGGAAGGAAACACAGCATCTGGTGATGTCCATGGGCTCTAGACTTCAGGAAGTCATTGATTATAAAGGAGTTTCATCGAAGTACTTAAAAAATCTTTATATTTGGAATTATGTTAGTTTTGTCCAATTACTCAAAATTACAAACATTATGTCATCTTAGAAATGGACCAAACTGTACATATGCTGCAAACTTTCTATAATATGACAGAATGCTACATGGTACAAGACTTTCTTTATTTTTGTGTCACATATTTCAGTCTTGAGTTTTAATTTATTCAGGAGGAAATACTCTGACAATATGTCTAATTTAAACTGCTTTCACACCAGCTGTGACCATTCGTGTACTGAATATCTATTGTGAATAGCATTTTGGCAGCTTTGCTATTAGCTATTTAATGTGGGTGTATTATATACAGACCTCCGTGAACTGAGGCTTACTCATACCGCAACAGCACACGCTATAATTTAATGTAAGACAAAAGCAATTCAAGCAAATTGGGCAGCAGCAAGGAGCTGCTCTCTTTTGTGCAACTGGTGGCAATTCATTGCATACACAAAAGATCCAATCACGCATAGCAAAGTTTAAACATGAGGACATTCAGAGGGTGAGACACATTTGTTCTCACAGCACTCACTTTACAAGAGATGGAATAAAAGGAAACAAAAAAGGCAGACATGTTTAGCTGGGCTATTCAAATGTCCAAACACTTACAGTATCTGTTATCGTCCCTTTTCCTCTCACTCATTTCCTTTCTTCATTTACACTTTGCTTCTCTTTTCCTTTCCTTCACTTTTTGGCACTGAATGTTTACTGTATTGATGCAAAGTACATAACACACAACTGCCCACACTATGAAAGAGAGCACAAGGAGATGCAGATAAATATTCTCACATTCACTCTATGTTCTTCCACTCTTGTTCTCAAAGTACGAATACGGACACATATTACATATTTCTCCTTTAAGCAATACACAATAAAATGTGCATCATATACTCAAATGCATAGAAAATCTAATGGGGTTATTCTCCACCGTTTCTCTTCACCATCTTGATTTTGATACAGATGCTTTATTAACTTTCTATAGATGAAGATTCGATTTTTTTAATGTCTGGTACTGGTACCAATAAATTCAAATTAAATTTTTAAAATGCAATGGAAACTCTTGAACTGGATATTTTCTATAATTCTGCACCTTTGGCCAATCCCACAATGTTTAAATTAATGTTAAAACCCGGTTTGATCAATGCTCAGTTTTACTTTCTCCTATATTTCTGTTGCTATTGCTATTTCTCCTTGATGTACAGAATTTATTACACCATACTTTATCATTCATACATGCCTTATTCCAAAAATGTTGTAAAATGTGAATAAAAAATAAAAAATAAAATAAAAGGAGCATCTTAGAGAAGCAGATGTTCACCAGTTTGTTGAACAACTTTAGATTGATGCCCCTCAACATTTTGAATATCTCATCATCTACAGTACATAATATCATCAAAAATCTGGAGAAATCTCTGTCCACAATGGATAAGGCCAAACATTGGTATTTGATGGGAAAAGCATGGGGCAATGCATGAAAAACATGAAATATTCTGTCACTGAAATCACTGCATGGACTCAAGAATTACTTCCAGTAATTTCCACAAATGTTATACTATCCACAAATGCAGGTTTAAGCTCTCGTATGCAAAAAAGAAGCCATATGTAACATGATCCAGAAAAGTCACCGTCCTGTTTGGGCTAAAGGTCATTAAAAATGCATTGAAGCAAAGTAGAAACCAACAAAAAAGCTTGCCTCCACCAGTGTGTGAATGTGTGTGTGAATGGGTGGATGACTGGGTGTGTAAAGCGCCTTGGGGTCCCTAGGTGGGACTAGTAAAAGGGCTATACAAATACAGGCCATTTCCCATATCTAATCCTTTACTTTTAAACACTGGCACCCAAACTAACAAACAAAAAAGAACAAATAAAAAAAGAACAATTGAAAAACAAGATAATCAGATTCCTACCCTAACAGATCTCTCTTTCTCTCTCTTTCACGTGTGCGCGCGCGCACACACACACACACACACACACACACACACACACACACACACACACACACACACACACACACACACACACAAAGAGCAGCTCCACCTTCTAGTTCCTGTGTTTTGGAAGTGTGTCTCTGCAGGGTGACCTCCATCTCTGTAATTACCTTGGTTTAATAACATTATTTTAGCAGTGTGCTTCTGTGTGCACATAATCTCACACACACAAACACACACACAGACAAGGACACGGTCTCTCATAGTCATTCAGCAGGCCCCAGGAGGCCTGTAGGTTTTACAGTTGAAAGTGGCAGCTCATTTTTCTTGGCTCTTCTTCCAAACTGCAGCGAAACAGCCAGACACATGAGGAGAAATAATAACGCACATCAGTGCTCATAATGAGAAAAATCAACAGCTTGGCTGCATGTTGAGCCAACTGAATATACCGAGCCTTTACAGTAGTGTTTTATGTGTGTGCCCTTTGTAAGTGACCCCCATGTGCCCATAGTCAAGTCTTTGACTTTGTGTAGCTGCTTTATTGTCTGTGTGTCTGTTTTGTCTCGTCTGAGTCTTAGTTATCATTGTCCACTGCTGCACCTGCCTTATATCCTTTGCTCTGAAAAGCCACTTCTTGTCTGTTTTCCATAAGGGGAGCTATGACATTAAAGTGTCAGAGTGTGTGTGAGCCCTAGAGGGTCAGACACCCTTTTCTGAGTCATTACTTGACCTCTGAACTATGCCTTAACCTCTGTATGTGCCAGCTGAGCCCTTTTCTGTTTGATGCAATATTTCCTCACATAGGTTCAGCCAGTAACACATAGTAACCTAATAGTGTCATTATGCAGCAACAGAGTAGCTGTTTGTCCCCTAATATTGAAGGATTAAGCTAAAATGTTTAAATGGCCTCAAATCAAACAAAACATGTAGGGAATTCAAAGTTTTTTTGTTAATATTCATTATATTTGCCTCCCCAGAACCCAGACCTCAACATTTATGGAAGCAGTGTGTCATCTTGACAGAGATGATCCCATGACAGAACAGAGAAGAAACAAAGATATAGAGCAAAAAATCTGGAGAACTGTTCCTCCAGAGTACATAAATAAACTTGCATGAAAGCTTTTCTAAGAGAGGCCAGACCACGTGGAAGAATTCAATTCAGTTCAGTTCAGTTCAGTGCAAATTACAACAACAGTTGCCTCAAGATGCTTTATTTTGTAACACAATATAACCGAGAAAACAAAGAAAACCTCAACAATCCAACGACCCACTATGAGCAAGCACTAAATAAATAAAGGTGGTCTTACCAAATATTGATTTAAAGCTTGTTAAAATTGTTCACTCTGTTGTTCTGAAGAGAATTGTTCGTAGAGTTGTGATACAAACGAAACCAAAAATAGAAAAACTGAAAACACTTTTGTGTACACATGTATGTCTACATTGAGTTGAATTGAAACAGACTCAGAAACTTTATTGTCATTGTAGCAATGAGAAATTAAACAATGCAAAAGAAGAATAGAAATTAGAATAAAAATAGTCAATTATTCCTTCACTTCAAATGAAAATATCATGAGAGAAAAAATTACTTGCTCAGTGGCTATGGCTATTGTGCCTTTGATTAACTCCTCATAAACCAGTCAATTATTATTCCTAATGAGTTATGCACGAGGCGCTATATTGCAGGCCATAACTCACTAGAGTCTCTTCAGAGTATTATCCGCCTTAAGTCTCAAATGCTGATTCATGTCAATTTTTATTGTACCGTTTTAAAAGTAAATAAATACATAGAAATTGAGGTCCAGAGCTTGATGACCTCATAGATGTTTATGGCCATGTGTCCCTGTGCACAAGTTCAAATTGTGCCCCTCCAATGACCTCGACTGTTTGAAAGACAAAAAACTATCTAAAGCCGGCCTTATATTTGATTTATTACACTGATAAAAGCATCTAGTGTAAAGAATAAAAAGCTCACAGTAATTCTTTTAAAGATCCTTTACACATATGTTTGAAATCATATACAAATACTCCACAAACAGGTTCATTCGTGTTAAAAAAAACTACAGGCACCTCTGAGTAGGATCCACAACAGTGCAAATAAAAGTAAGTAAGTGAGAACAGATAGTAAGGAAACACTTCTGGCAATTTAATGTAAAAGATTAATATAATTTAGGCTAAAAGGGGCAAAAACTAAACATTAAACCTCAGTGAAAACTTCCTTTTTTAAAATTTAATTTACTGTTTACTATTAGAAAGTTTCTGTTAAAGATAATCATAAATCTACAGTCTACACAATACATGTGCTGTATATGTGCCACATATACAAACATCCGGTTCTTGTTAAATATTACAGATTTTGGTTTGAGTCTTTCTGCTGCCCAATTTTACCTGCTGAGCTCAGTCAGACACAAGAAACGCAAACATGGCAGCCGGCACAACCACACTGCAACTCCCCTCTTCCTCTTGGTGGTCGATATCTAATTAACAGACATTTGTGTGTGTGTGTCTGTGTGCATATGTAAGTGTGAGTGATTTATGTGCTCCGTCCTCATTTCACTGTGAGGTTAATGCTACAGGCCGCCGCAGCTGGTATCCCCAGGGGTGTTTGTCAGTGACCCTTGTGCGCGCACGCACAGACACACACTCTCTTACACACAATGGGGGCTCGCAGACGTGTAGAGAGAAATGTTCATGAATATTAAACAAAACCTCAACGGCTGCGATTCATATCACACAATCATTTTTTTTCAGTCTATCAGTAAAAACCCTCATTTCCCGCCACGAGGCATCATGTTTCTAAGTCTCGTCTCAAAAAGTAGCCCAATATTTCCACTCCAGTTGTTTTGCTAAAAATGACACCCCAGGGTACCAAAAAAATGGGGGGGGAAAAAAACAGGAAAACAGCACTGGGGTTGATCACTGTGCTGGAGATCACAGATTCAGTGAAGAAAAACGGTGCTTACGAGCTCACACATACACATGCTTTGTCTCAGCTGAACGGGCCTGAACACTCAAATTGCACCAGTGCTTGAGGTTGATAGGGGAGTAGGAAGGGAGCGGTGACATTTTGTTCAAAGCTGTGTCCGCTTTTGCTTTCTCATTGGTAGTTCCTCTCCTAATTCTCGCCCAGCTCTGCTTCACATCCATTTCTGCATTTCTCATATCCCGGCTCTCCTCTTCAGACTCTGTGTTATTAGCGTTTAAGAATTCATCACGTTTCTCTTTCTTCATCCCCCCGATTTCATTATTACTGTGTGTGTTTCTCTGATTGAGCTTTATTTGAGATGACTCTCTTTGCTCTGCCCTTTACTGAATGAATATGGAGGATGCGGGGGCTTAAATAGGGGCTCTGAGAACCCCCTGCATCCCACCATGTCTGGTAGGAGGACAGAAACAGAAGACCATCTGTCCTGAACATGCCACACACATATGCACAGTTCTCTCCCTGACCAGTATCCACCAACACACGATGAAATCTGATAGGTGATTAAATGCATAAAACAAGCAGATGGAACAACGACGGAGCTGAAAGGGAAAACCCCGCCATGTCTGTTTGTGTTTTCGTCCCTGGGTAGCAGAGAGACAGTGAAGCCACACACCTACCTGCTAACACACCACACACATAGACCAGTCCAATTCTCAGGGCACCGTGGACCATTTCTAGAGGGACGCCCACCAGCAGCTGCATGGCCATGTTCAGGCTCAGGTGTTCAATCCTGTAACATGAAAAATATATAACCCTGCACTTAATACAGTAGCAATATAAAAAGGTCATTGCAGAAATGTGAGTGGCACATGAGCTATTGAGGTCACACTGTGAGGCCTCAAAGTTTACCATTTGTGTTTTCAATGTTTTGAAACAGGATTTTGAAGACCACAACTTTGTCCTCCTTTTTAAATCAAACGAGGACCATGTTTTACAAAATGAACCCTATGTTGCATTAAATAAAACTTAAAACAAGCATTTGAGGAATTTAAAGTCATCAGGGAAGTGTTCTCTCATTAGAAAGTACAGCTTTTATACATTTCTATGGATGCTACATTCACCCTCTATACAGCCTACACTGGTGGCGCCAGTGTCCGGCAGCCTCGCC